TATTTAGACAAACTCACTTGTTTAATCACCAGGGGTCAATGATGAAGTCATCAGTTATCCAGACCAGATCCTGATAAAATAGTTGCAAATTTCAATTCAAAAGATATTAAAAAAAAAAGAGAGAGAGAGATATTCAACCTAACCTAGAGCTTTCGTCTGCCTGGCAAGTAGCTTGCACTGATTATGTTGGAAACTTTGATAATCACTATCCCCCTCAAAAACTATATTCTTTTCTACGTATACATTCCATTCTTCCTTTTACAATTATTGCTTCCCAACCTTTATCTGCTGCTACTTTTTTTTTTTTTTTTTTTTACCAATGCATCCAGCACTCCGAAAACTGGTTATTGGAGTTCCCAGGTACAAAAGGTTGTTATCTCTCCCTTTTCCATCAGTTCACAAGAGTGAACTTTATGCTATTTGTCTGGTGCTGCAAGATTTTCCCAATGAGCTCCTTAATATCGTTAGTGATTCTCAATATGCTGTTTATAGTACCTCCCAATTACCTACTGCCTCATTACCACTTAATCCCTCTACAACGTTGCAGCAGCTGTTTTCACACCTACAGATTCTAATTCTCAAATGACATTTTCCTATTTATCTGGTACACATTCGCTTGCATTCAGACTACCCGGTCCCTTATCACAAGGCAATACTAACATTGACTCTACTTTTAGCTTTGGTTCAAGATGCCTCAGTCGAGCACACCCTTCATCATACTAATGCTAAAGGCCTTCAACAACGATTTTTCTCTTTCTAGAAAACAGGCACGTGCTATTGTCTGCTCATGTTCCACCTGCGCCCCTTTCACTCTTCCCTCTTTCCCCTCTGGGTGCAGCCCATGAGGGTTGTGTAGTAATCCTCTTTGGCAGATGGATGTTACCCATGTCACTTCGTTTAAAAAGCTTTGTTATGTTCATCATACTATTGACACCTATTCTCACTTTCAGGGGGCTACAGCTCATAGTTCTGAAAAGGCCAATGCACTTATTACTCATCTTTATTCCTGTTTTGCTGTCATGGGACTTCTGGTGACATTAAAAACAGATAATGCTTCAGGTTGTACCTCTGGAAAACTTGCTAACTTTTTAACGCTATATTCCATTCAACATATTACAGGAATTCCTTTCAACAGCCAAGGGCAAGCCATCATTGAGCGTGCTAATCACCCCCTCAAGTTTCAATTACAAAAACAAAAAGGGAGAGTCAAGGAATCTCCTCACTGACATTTCCTCCGTGCCCTTTATATACTTAATTTTTTAAATTTTTGGCAGGACTTGCATGCCTTGGGAGCAGAGTGTCATTTTACTTCTTCCCCTCCTTTGCAAAAGCCTTGTGATCCTGTGTATGTTGCTGCCCCTACTGGAGGATGGATTGAGGGAGAAGTTCCACAATGGGGTCAGGGATATGCTTATGTCTCCACAGAACAAGGTTGTGGGTGGGTTCCTGTATACCAGCTTGAAAGGCAATATCCCAATCAAGATGTCGCACAAGATGAGAACGCGACATGTGAAAGCAAAGAAGAAAAAGCAGGTGGTAACACTGGCAGTGTGGCTGCCCTTTAGCCTACCTGCCTTTCTACCAATTTTATGCTCCTTTCTGGTTGATCAGGTTATTTCTGCTGATGTTCAGCATGCATATTGGGCTTATGTTCCCTATCTTCCCCTTTTTTTAAAGCAGTAGCTTGGTGGGAGTCTGAAGTCATCATTTATACTAATGATTTCAAATGGATGCCTCCTCCTTATCAATATCAATCATGACATCCAGAGGATGAAGGGAGACTGGTTTCTAATTACTCTACTTATGCTCAAGGGTATCCCATTTGTTCTGGGGCAGGAGAGCATTGCCTGGTACCCTCTCCTCAAGCTTGGGGTCTGCAATATAACACCTCTACTTTCACAGCCAGCACTATATTACTATCTATGAAGGGGTTTAAAGGGATGCCTTCTAACGCAGCTGAAAGACCTCCATCTCTGCCCCTTTGTTTTATGCCTCACATTGAACCTCCTGTAACTCATTTTGATTGGAGCGTATGTAGAGGTAAAGTTCTAAAAGAAGTACACAATAATCCTGAGATTGTTGACTGGAACCCCTATGGTGACTTTCAGAAAAAGTTTTCTGGTCACTTCTTACGCTGGCATGTTTATGAAGACACTATCAAGGCCATTGCTAACAAGACAGTTATCTGGCATGATAAAGGCCTTTCCCCTCCACAACCTCACTTACTCCAGGGGTCAGAAAAAACAAGGGCACATCCAGAAACTCCTGGCTACAAGAGAAAACCTTAAATTTGGGTGGGAAATATGTCCTCAGATGAGGAGGGAGGCATAAAAGTACACCTCCACCATCGCCATCCTAAAACTTAACTGGCATGCGTTCCTTATCGTTATCTTTTACTCATGGGAACTGTTTATTGGAATCAGTCTACAGGAAAGCTGACTTGCCCTTGTAATTGTGCCCTATTTACTTGTGTAAACTTCACTTCATGGGCTACTTTTAACAAATCCTTACATAGTCTGTATATTCTCAAGGCTCCTACAGAGATATGGTTGCCTGTCAACCTATCTCGACCTTGGGGCGATTCAGCCCTGGTCACCACTCTTTTAAATAAAATAACTCCTCTGGCTTGTAGAATAAAAAGAGTCATTGGTCTGATAATCATGCCAGTAGTTGGCTTAATGGCTGTTGCTTCCTCCGCTGCTATTGCTGGGGTTGCATTACACTTTTCTGTGCAAACTACTGATTTTGTTCGTAAGTGGCATGATATTTCACATAAATTATGGCAACAAGAGCAAGAAATTGATACTCACCTGGCAGGTGAAATTATTCAGTTTCAGAATACAGTTCAGTGGCTGGGAGACCAAATTCAGGTTTTGACAACTCAATATTTTCTCCGTTGTGATTTGTGTCACTCCTATTCCTTTCAATAGTAGTCGACATTGGATATCATTACAAAAATTGTTAAACGGAGGCCAAAACTTACCTAGAGACCTCCAAAAAAATTAGAACAAGAAATCACCTCTGCTTTTCAAGACAATCTGCCAGATTTTAATAATGATGAGTTCTTTTCTGGCCTGGCCAGTGGATTGTCACAGGCCTATCCTTTGGCTTCATTAAAAACAATGCTCAGTAGTGTTGGGAATAATTTGGGTGTTCTCCTCCTTGTATTATGTTTTTTGCTCTTAATCTACAGGTGCTGGAAAAAAAGGCAAGCAACTCAGCAACAGAAAAAATAAAATGTCATGGCTGTGTTCCAGTGTGTTCACCTTCAAAATTAAATAAAATAGAGGGAGATATAGGGGACTGACATTATATATTCCTAGATTAAGAATTAAATTTACTGAGTAATGTATGTGCTCTACTCAGAGTGTTTGAAAGTAATATGTTCTGGACAGGGACTCTGTGATAAACAAGGTGTTGCCTAGAGGCATAACAAAGGACCTGAGCTGCAAGTAAGCAAGAGCTGCCCAGCCCCAAGGCAGTGGGGGTCTGGAGGTCACATGATAAACACATTGTAACTGTGATTGCTGTTAAGTCCCATAAGATGGCTGCTTAGTCAATGACAGGTAAGACCCCTCAAGGGAAGGGTGACCTAAGCCACGCACAGCCGCAGGGGATCAGTCTAAGAGAAAGTGGGGATGACAAATGCTCCCTGTGGCTGCCTTGCCCATCCTTGCTAATCTTGATGCGTGATCTATGCCTGGTGCCTAGAGCAACCACCTGGAAACCTTGAGTCAGGGGACATCTGTGTCCTCAAGGCTACATGTTCCAGAATTTATGGCCATTGCTGCAATGCCTGGGTGGTTACGTATAAGGAACTAACTTCAATTTTTTAGAGTGTAAAAATAAAAACAACCCAGAGTATTAACACTCAAGTCAACCGTCTTTGTATGTGTGTCTGTGTTTTCTTCTGTGTTCTGTGTTCATCCTCCATCCTGTAAATGGGCCACAGCACTAGGGTTTTAGGAAAGTGTATGATTGGGGGGGGATGCCTTTTAAAGGATACATTATTTCTGCTGGGTAGGAAGAAAAAATTCAAGAGATACACTGTATACAGCATGCTTACTATACTTAATGATGATGTATTTTTAAAATATGCTGAGAGAGTCAATGATAAGTGTTCTTCACCACAAACATGATAAATATGGGAAGTAAAGCATCTGCTAATTAGCTAGACTAAGCATTAGACAGTGTTTGTGTGTGTATGTACTTCAAAACATCACATTTTACATGACAAATACAAATAATGTTATCTGTCAATTACAAGAACAAATCAGTAAAATCTTTGAAGTATAGCATTGTTCCAAAACTGAGCCTGGATCTTTGTCATGAGCTTAGCTGAACTGTATCAAAAATATATCATTTTAGTGCTGTTTTCATCATTCCATTTCTCAGTCATAAGCAAGGAAACTCTGATAATTGCCAACAGATTCAGAATCCAGCACAGAACATGAAAGGGGCTTTGACGATTTTATTTGAAGCTAAAGATACCTGTAACTTCCTCGTGCTGATTATTATGGTATGGAAGACACTAAAGAGGTATGTGGTGCTGATTGTCCCACCTCTGGCCACTGTGAGAACAGAAAACAGAATTTGGATTGCA